TGTCCCCAAATGTCGGCCAAACAATTTATATTAATTTTTAAAATTTTTTAGTTTGTTTAGGACTCAAAAATGAGTCATTTAATTTTTCTTTCATTTTTTTTTTTGATCCAGAATAGGCAATTTCCCCCCTTCAATTTATCCTTTCCTGATGGCCCTAAATTTGCGGCCCGCCCTTTTTTAGTTTTATTTGCTTCTTTTATTTTATTTTATTTTTTATATTTTTTGCATAACATTTAAGGAGCGCAAACAACCATGGAATTATACTAAAAAGTAGGGTTGCGCCCCGAGCCTTCGGGGTTGAAAAAGTCGGGGGTCGGGGTTTTCGGGGTTGACAAAGTCGGGGTCGGGGTCGGGGTTGCTCAAATTGTTCGGGGTCGGGGTCGGGGCTGAAAATCATGTCGGGGTTCGGGGTCGGGGTCGGGGGTCGGGGTTGAAGTGAAAATTTACAAAATCCAGCATTTTTATCCAATATTACTGTGCAAAATCAACATTTTTATTAAAAAATCAACTTAATCTTCATTATCTTCACTTTCTAAATCTAATTCGTTATTAGTTGAAGGCGCAAGAAGTACTTTATCCAAGTTATCCTTCATAATCCCCAAACCCACAAGGTAACTCTTACTCCCCCTCTTAAAGGGAGTGAGGGGATATGAAGGCATATCAGAGGATTAAGATGGATATAATGGGATTTAGAGGGATTTGAAGAGATATCGGGGATTTGCAAGTATAACTGGAGAAATCCATCTATCCATCAATTTCTCCTAAAGCCTCTGTATCCCTTCATTGAGTTTAGCGCCGCAGGCAAAAATTTTGAGAATTTTGGAAGGTCAAGAGCCAGATCTCTTCCATTTTCTGCGCCGCAGGCGAAAATTTTTAGAATTTAGGAAGGCCAAGAGACAGATTTCTTCCATTTTCTACGCAACAGGTGAAAATTTTGGAAAATTCATGACTAGTTTAAAATTTCTAAAATTTTTTCAGGTTTAAAATATTAAAAAAAATAAATTTGCATATTTAAAATCAAGATCAAAGTTTAAAAATATTTATTTTTGAGAAGAAAAATTTTCTCAGTCTCATTTCAATCGATGTATTCGAACACCATACCTATCAAAATAGCTAGATGGGTGAAGTCAGTTAACCTAACCACTCGCCCACCGACCAACAAAAGGAAATAGGAGAAAATATAAATATTCATTTCCCTTTTCCTTCATATATTTAACATCAAAGTCCCGATCCCGTTCCGATTTCTAGTTAATTAATGCAGTTTGAGTCGGGGTCATAAAAATTTTTCGGGGTTCGGGGTCGTCGGGGTCGAACTTTCGGGGGTCGGGGTTTTCGGGGTTGGGAATGTCGGGGTCGGGGTCGGGGTTTTAGGTCAAAAAGTGTCGGGGTTCGGGGTCGGGGTCGGGGTTAGTCGGGGTCGGGGCGCAACCCTACTAAAAAGAACTGTCTTTTACACACTTAAAATTATGTATATCCTCTTCCCTCGCTCATTCTTCCCTCATTTTCTACTTAAAAATACTTAAACCAGTCGACCTGTTTTTTAACGAGTTTTTCAACAATGAATTTTTTTTAAATATTATTTTCTGCCTTAAAGTTCAATATATATTATCCTTAACTTAGTAAAAAGTACAAAAAGAAAGGGGCTTGTGTTTGCGCAGAAAGACAATAGAAAAAAAGAGAAAAGCTCTCAAGTGCCTTTCGAGAAAATTACGAGTTAAGCAAAAATTATTTTTGAGGATTTTTGTGGTCAATAAATAATAAATATATTGGATTTTATCTAAATTGCTTTGATTTCTATTTTAAAAATTTTTGAAATATTTTCTTATAATTTCTTTTTAAATTAATTTAATTCTCAGACTCTATTTACCTCCTTTTTAAATTTGTATTTCCGTTGAAATCAGAATTTTTAAATAAAATACAAAAATCAGAATTCTGATTTTCTTCACTAGAAAACAAATAATTTTAAAATCAGAATTTTTATTTTTAAGCAAACAATTAATTGTATATCAGAATTATTTGTTTCAAAATCAGAATTTAGTAAAACACAAAAATCAGAATTTTAGATATTCTGATTTTTTCTTCCCAAAATTAAAAAAATATAAAACTAAAAATTCTGATAATATTTTTATTTTATACAGTCAATTTATTCTGTTAATAAAACTTTTTCTCACGACCGGAATAGCCAACAAATATTAATCACTAGCGATAACAACTAAAAATAAATACAAACATGTCTCTCTCCATTTTTCTATTAATAAATTAATTGCCTTAATTGGATTGTCTCCTAATTTGCCCCCTATTTAAAAATTAATTCCTGCTGCTACTTATTTTTTTTGAAAAAAATCTTTTTGTTATGGGAATAATGCCTTGGGTTTTGATTTGAAAAAAAAAGATTTTTTGGAAGATAATTTTTTTAAATTTTTTATTTAAATTTTAACTAAATACCATAAGAAAACACACAGAAACTTTTGTGTTTCAGAATTATTTGTTCTTCGCAAATCAGAATTTTTATAAAATACAAAAATCAGAATTTTGACTATTAGAGAAACACATACTTATTCTGATGTGTTTTTCTCTTCCCAAACTTTAAAAATACAAAATCAGAATTCTGGTGATCTTATGGGTTAAACTTTAATTTTTTTAATATTCATGCAAAATACGTTATATTTTAACTTTATTTTGTTAATATCTATTTTTTTACACGTTTTATTTTTATTTTTAATTTGCACGCAAACACAGAAACCAAACGTTATTTAACAAAAAAAACTTTTTTTGGTTGAGTGAATAAATTTATTTTTATTTTTTACTTGTTTTTCTATTAATTATCACTTTTATTAATTTACAAGTACATCACTCATTTTTTTTCTTTAAAAATTCTTGACATGCTCTATTGGATAATCAACGATTTAATGGGAGAATGACGAGATTGAAGAGAATTAATTGAAGTAAACCGTTTGAGTCTGAGTTGTGTTTTTCTTTTTTAGATTTGTGTTTTCTTTGTATTTTCTTTTTAATCAGAATTTTTAAAAAATACATCAGAATGCTAATTCTGATTTAATTCCTGCTACTCTTTTAGAAACACAAATATTCTGATTTTTATTTCTTCTCATAAACTTAAAAATATAATCAGAATTATTTGTATTTTAAATCAGAATTTTGTATTTTTAACAAAACAATTAATTGTATATCAGAATTATTTGTAAATCAGAATTTAATTATTTAAAACACACAAATATTCTGATTTTTCTTCCCTTAAAATTAAAAAATACAAAATCAGAATTTTGTATGTATTTTCGTGGGGTGTTGATCTTTTGGGACAACCTTTATAATATTAAAAATAGACATGTTACGCCACCAAAACTTCCCCTCATTCAATTTTTATCACTTAATTTCATCTCTAAAAAGAGGAAGAAAACATTGAGGAAAGAATGAGTGTTCCTCTTTTAGTTCTTCTTGCCCTCTAGTCAAATCGCTTAATATCCTCTTCTAGAAGAAAAAAGGCTTGTGATGAGTTGACATTTATTAAGTCAATTAAGACACAAGTACCTAACACAAAAAATTTTTTTTTATTTTTTTAATAAGGGAAGCGGAAATTTTTTAAGATTTTTGCAGAATGCCAAGGTTTTTAAGGACCCCAATTTTAAATAAAATTTATTTTATATTTGAAAAGAGGCTTGTAGAGAGCTTCGAATACCCATTGATCTTTAGTACCTAACACAAATTCTGATCCAAAATTATCAACAAAAATCGTTAAAGGTGACACTTGAGTACCAATTTAATTGTTCTGATTTTTATTTGTTATTTAAATATTAACTTAAAAATATAATCAGAATTATTTGTATTTTAGATCAGAATTTTGTATTTTTAAGAAAACAATTAATTGTATATCAGAATTATAAAAATACAAACATCAGAATATTAATTCTGATTTAATTCCTGCTGTCTTTCTTTTAGAAACAAATATTCTGATTTTTATTTCTTTGTATAAACTTAGATATAACCAGAATCTCATATGGATACTCCCAGTCCGGTCACTATTATTCTAATAATAATCTCTTTTTTTCTAACAACTAATAACTATATTTATTTTTATTTTTGAGGACATTCATCAATTGTCAATTGTCTTTTATTTTCTCTTTTTTTATTTAACAAGCACTTGTCATGAATATTTTTTTGTGTGTAAATCCTTCTCGCGCTTGTTATAATAGAACAACAAAAACACACAAAATATGTAATTTTCTTTTTTTAAAGAAAACAAGAAAGGGTTCTTGAAGATTTATTTTTATTTTTCTTAAAATTCTTTTTTTTTAAATTCCTCCCAAATTTCTATTGTTCCCAAATGTCGTGTGTTCGCAAATGTCGTTTGTTCTCAAATGTCGACAAGAAATTTTTTAAAAATTTTCTTGTATTTTAAAATTTTTTTTCCTAATTTTTTAATCTCTGTGCGCGAAAAATAAAAATTTTTTTTTAATTTTTTCGAAACAATTTTTAGGGGTTTAACAAGTAAAATGACCTTCCCTTCCCTCCTTTTTTTATTTTTCTCGATTTTTTTAAATAAGGAGAAGGAACATCTTTTTTACAATAGAGTATTCTACTGACAAAAGAAGAAAAATATCCCCCAAAAAATAATTTGTTTGGTTGTTACTTACCTTTTTAACTCATTTACATTCGTTTTATTTTTGTTTAAAGGGAAAATCCCTCCTTTTCTTTTCTTTAATGCTTTTGTTATTTTCCCTTAAATAGGTAGATTTATTTTTGGTTCAGCAACATTTTCAGGCCAAAAATATTATACGTATTTTACTGAATAAATCAAGACTTTTTTTGTGACCACAAATGTCTCTCTTATGCCAGGTGTTCCCAAATGTCGGATGTTCCCAAATGTCGGGTGTTCGCAAATGTCCCAAAATTTTTAAAAATTTTTTCGTGTTTTTTTAATTTTGTGTTTCGTTTTATTTTTAAAAAATTTTGTTTCGTTTTAGCTACAGAAAAAAATTAAAAAGATGCCATTTTCACAAAAAAATAATTTATTAACTAAAATTATTAATTTATTAATTAATTTAATTATAATTATTTTGTTGCTTTCTCCACAATTAAAAACAGAAGAGACGATAAAGAAAAATACAAAAATTTTAAATATTAAAAATATTGAGAAAACAATAAAAACAATGTTTTGGCTTTCTGTAGAAATTAATTCTGTTGAATTTAGAAAGGGCTGTTTGAGTACGGCGTTGTGCCATCGACCGACGTTTAAATTGGTAGGGAGGGGAAATTTGAATTTTTTGGATAAAAATTTTTTTTTAAGAGTCAAACAATGACTTTAAATGGCCAAACTGTTATGATGAGTTGGCCGATGGAGGGAGGTGCTGAAACTCTTTTACAGGTAAATTTAAAAATTTAAATTTGGGGTCTTTTGGCCTATTTTTATGAAATTGGACACTTGAGTCTGGCCATATTTTTGACCATAACTTTTTTAATCCTTAACCGATTTGAATAATTTTTGTATCAATCGAAAGCTCTCGATTTGCTTAACCTTTTTTCTAAAAGGACTGATTCGATCAGATCATTCACTTAAAAGTTAGGGCCGGATAAAGACCGAAAATCACGATTGCGCGCACTTTTCATGCCTTAACTTATTATATGTTAGTCTGATCAAGATGATCCTGTTAAATAAAATAATCTACACTTTCAGAGCTTTCGATTGATATAAAATTTATTTTAATTGGTTAAGAATCGAAAAAGTTATGGACCAGAATAAGATTGGTGTCCTTGTCCTGAGATTGGGGTAGTTGAGTCGATTGGGTGGTTTCTTCTTAAAAAGAATGCTAGGATCTAAGGCTTCGATACTGAAATGGTCTAAAAAATTAATTTTCTTTTCTTAATGCTTTTTGTCAATTAAAAAAAATTTTTTTAACTAAAAAATTAAAAAAGGCCGACAAACTAATTGCTGTAGAAATTAGTCGGAAAATTAAAAAGAAAAAGGAGAAATTTCCTCAATTTGTTTTAATGGTTTCCAACCTTGAGGCGACAAAAGTCTTTTTTTACCTCCTTTAAAAAAGTAATTTTTCATTTCCTCTCATTTTTCTTTCTCCCATCTGGAATATTTTGTTTTGATTTTTTAATTTTACCGAATGGGTGTTTTTAACGGAAACGACATTTGCGAATGCTTTTGAAATTGGAACAAATCTGGCCATTAAGTTCTCTTGGCTAGTTGAAATATTTTTGTTGGGATATCAAGACTCTAATTGTCACATTATAGAAAGCTTAAAAGATGGTCGCAAGTGTTTTGTTCGCAAATGTCGCTGTCCTCAAATGTTATGTTCCCAAATGTCGTTTGTTCGCAAATGTCGTTTATTCCCAAGTGTCGAATGTTTTCAAGTGTCGATTTTCGCAAATGTCGCTCTTTATTTCTAGAATTAGGGTAAACCACAACCTCGAAAAATCCGATACCCCCTAGATACAATCTTAAAAATCTCTGAATTTTTAAAAACGATTTCCTCTGCGTTAGGGGGATTTTTTAAAAACAGAAGACCAACACCTATGAGAAAATTATTAAAATTTTCTCTTTAAAAAATATCGGGACTTTAATAAACCTTTTGTTTTATTTTCTTTCTTTCTTATTTTTTCTCTCAAATTACTTTAATTTTTTTTCTTTTGTATTTTTACCGCTTTTGTAAATTTTCTTTTTTTATTTAATATGTGTTTGTGAGAATATCACATTTCTTTTTTAAAAACTTTCATTTTTGTTTGTTTGTTTTTCTCTGTTGGAGATTCTCTGTTTTATCTGTATATTTTGTAATAAAACAGACTTTTTGTTTTTATTATTTTGACTTGAAAAAGCTGTTCAAATAAATTAAGTTTGCAAATGTCGGGTGTTCGCAAATGTCGCTCTTATCAGAACCTTACGAGGTGTTGGTACTTGATCGACTCTAATTTTGTTAGGATTGATCTGATCTAATAGGTCCTTTTAGGAAAAATGTTAAGCACATCTAGGGCTTTATGAAAATATAAAATTTATCTGGTGAGGGTTAAAAGTTGGAAAGTTGTAGGCCGTAAACTTGCCCTGTCCCGGCATTTCAGTCTCGATGCAATATTTTGGCCATAACTTTTTTTAGTTTTAACCGATTTAAATAATTTTTATGTCATTCGAAAGCTTTGAATGTGTGGATTTTTTTATATAGCAGGATCATCTTGATAAATTAAACTAATAAAAAGTTAAAGCTCAATAACTACGCGCAATCGTTATTTTCGTTATTTATTCGCCTGTAACTTTCTATCCATTAATCTGATCGGATCGACTCTCTTAGAAAAAAGGTTGAGAAAACTGAGAGCTTTCGATTGGTATAAATTTTGTTCAAATCGGTTATGAATCAATAAAGTTATAGTCAAAAATAGGGCCAGACTCAAGTGTCCTCTGCCCACTTTAATTATTTTTAAATTCTCTAAATTTCAAAATTAAATATTTAGAAGGACATTCTTCACCCATTTATCTCCCAGTGGACAATTGGAGAACCAGAAGATGTTTCCTTTGGTTGTCAAATTGCTGGAACTGATCCTTCCTTTGGATTTGCGCGTATTTGTGATGAAGCTTCGGCTAAAAGAATTTTTCAAGAAGAAAATGTTAAACAAAATATTTTGGTAAATTAATTATAGAGAGAGGAGATTTTAAATTTCGTGTGGATAGATCCAGCCTACGGACAAATCTAACATTTTTTGAGCATAATTCGCAACATTTTTGCGGACAATCCGCAAAATTTTGCGGACATCCGCAAATTTTTTGCGGACAAAATTTGCGGATTTTTTTAATAAAAAATTAAATTTAGAAAAAAGGGAGGTCTTCCAAATGGAAAATATTAAAAATTAATTTTTTAAAATTTATAGAAAAATGTTAGAAGAGAAGAATCCTTGTTTTATGAAGAAAATCATCCAAATTCTCCAATAAACAACCAAAATTCTCAAATAATTTTAATTAAAATGAACGGACGTTGTTTTAATGCTACACTCTCAATTAAAAAATATTTGGAAAGATGTCCATGGTGTTTAGATCCAAATTTAGATATTAAAGTTGTTGGAGAAAATAATGAAGAAGGGAATGGACATCAGGTAGTAATGGAAGGTCGTTGAAAGGCTGTTGACAGTCTTGAGGCCATATTTTGGCCTATAACTTTTTTGATCCTTAACCGATTTAAATAATTTTTGTATCAATCGAAAGCTCTTGATGTGAGGATTATTTTAATTAAGGGTTTGATTTGATCGGATCAACGAATGAAAAGTTACAGCAGAATAAAGGCCCGAAAATCACGATTGCGCACACTTAGCGGGCTGTAACTTCAAGTAGGATGATCTGATCAACTCACTCCTGTTAGCTTAAATAATCTACACATTCAGAGCTTTCGAATGATATATAATTATTTAAATCGGATAGGAACCAAAAAAGTTATAGTCCAAAATAAGATTGAAATGGCTGGGACTCAAGTGTCCCCTACCCTCTAGAAATTTTTTTCTAAAAAATTTTTTTCAGAATCAATTAAAAGGAAATATTTCTGAAGAAAATGGAAAGACTATACAATTACAGAATATATTAATTTTAATTTTATCTGGTGCTGTTGTTTTTTCTTTAAGTGGTAAAATTTTCTTGAAGATTTTGGACAGGACGACCACGAGAATTTTTTGGCCCATAACTTTTTTATTCTTTAACCAATTCGAATAATTCTAGTATCAATTTAAAGCTCTGGATGTGCCTATTCTTTTTCCCAATGGGACTGATTAGCTCAGATTTTTTATAAAAATTCTACAAGTCGTTAAGTTCAGAAAATCGTGATTTTTGATAGTTTTTCGTCTCTAACTTTTTAACTATTTGTCAGACCCTATAAGTCTTGCTAAGAAAAAGAAGCAGCACGTTAAGAGCTTTCGATTGGTATAAAATCTGTTCGAAATGGTTAAAGAACAAGAGAGTTATGGGCCCAAAAAAGGAGGTATGGTCGTTGAGACTCTAGTGTCCCTTTTCGTTAAATAACCTTTAAAAAATTTTTAGGCCTTTTTGGTGCCTTAATAATCCATTGGCGTTACCGTAAACAAAAGCCTAATTTAATTCATTCAAATCGAAGAAGAATAAATACAGCTATAGGCTGCCATCAAAAAGAAAAAACATTTTCTCCAAATAATTCAAAAAATAAAAAAATTTTAAAATTAATTTCTCCCCCACGTGCCCAACGTTCCTTACCTTGTTCACCAGAAAAGCAGAGAGAAAAATATGAACAACAACAACAATTTATTTGCGGGGAAAATTGTCAAGGAGAGCAAAAGTGAGGGAAAAATTAAATTTAATTATTTAATTAGTACAGGAGATCACCCCCCAAAATATCAACAAAACTTTTAGGGGTGATCTTTTGGGTAGGCGATCTTTAGGGTATAGATGTCTATTTTTGTTTTGTGCTGAGGACTCAAGCGTCCATCCTGAAAAATTTTTAAAAATAAAAATTAGGATGTGGGGGCATTTGAGTATTTTTTTCAAGTCAAAATCGAACACGACAAGGGTACATACGACAAAAAGGCAGAAAAAAAAATTATTTTTAGTCACATTACCCCACAATTCTCTCTTATTTTTCAGTAATTATGACGTCCCATGGGACAACAAATTTTGCCTAGTCCCCCGTCAATGGCTTTTAAACAACCAAACAATTTCTTCAAATAATCACCGCCCTCCTTCACTTTTCTTTAGCGGTGGAAGTGAACCAATACCTTCTTTAGGGCAACAACAAATTGTCCATCCCTACGCTACTTGTTACGAATTTAGCCGTAATGCTTCAATTAAAATTCCTTCGACTATGACAATAAGTCATCAAGTAAATTTTATTTTACACCTTAAAATTAGAGAAATTAGTTGATTGAGTAACGGTGAAGTTAGAGGGGATTATTAGAATGAGGAAATTAAAAATTTAAAAATTATGTATTTGGCATAGTGTAGATTACATAAGACAAAAGGGTACACATGACAAAAGGGTTCACAAGCCAAAATAGTTCAAGACAAAACGTTACAAGACAGAATGCCAGAAAATATAAAAATTTATTTTTAGTCAACACTCCCTCCTCCCCCACCACCTCCACCTTCATTTCCACCAATACAATCGCAAACACTAAATAGAAGACAATCCTTCATAATACCCCAACAACAAACATTTATTTCCCCAAATACTTCAACTACCGCCAATTGTTCGTCTTCTTTTGGTAGACATGATGATAGTGGATTAGATTCTGTTTAGAATTGAAGGAAGGAAAGAAATATTTTTAGGAACCCAGTGATTTTACTAAAAAATTTTTTTGTTAAATATTAAATATTTAATTTAAATGATCTCATATCCTAATCTTGACAATTATATTTTCGTCTTCTTTTGACACCTATAGAGGATGTTGCCTAAGATTTTCCTTTGCGACCTCTGTCTAGGGGATATTTTCGAATACGACATTTGCGTAGGTGACAATTGTGTAGGCGACAAAAGTGTCCAAGACAATTGTGTAGGCGACAAAAGTGTCCAAGACAAGAATTTTTAAAATTGTGTGCCTTTGTAAAATAATCATTTTAAATAAATTTTTATTATTTTATTATATTTAAATATTAACTATATTAAATTAATTAATAGATTAAATAAATAAAAAAGAAAACAACACAATAAAAAGAAAACAACGCAAACGTTTACTAGAAAGTTCTATCTTCCCTTCAATTAGAGATCGAAGTGAGTGGACCGATCGAGAATATTGGCAAAAAAATAAACAAAAAACTTCTCAAAATCAGCTCACTCCGATCTCTAGGAAATTTTTGTCCGCAAATATTTTTGCGGACAACATTTGCGGACAAAAAAAATTTTTTTGCGGACAACATTTGCGGACAAAAAATTTTTTGCGGACCAGGGATTATATCTTTGGGGTAATGGAAGTATATTAATTCGGTTCACCATTTTTAGAGACATCTTTTTGTGCTCTTTCATATGAGCTATCGCTTGTCTATATACGATAAGATTTTTGAAAAAATTTTTGTTTTACCCCAATATTTTAATTATAAAAATAATTTATTTAGGGGGTATATTCCAGGGATTATATCTTTGGGGTAATGGAAGTATATTAATTCGGTTCACCATTTTTAGAGACATCTTTTTGTGCTCTTTCATATGAGCTATCGCTTGTCTATATACGATAAGATTTTTGAAAAAATTTTTGTTTTACCCCAATATTTTAATTATAAAAATAATTTATTTAGGGGGTATATTCCAGGGATTATATCTTTGGGGTAATGGAAGTATATTAATTCGGTTCACCATTTTTAGAGACATCTTTTTGTGCTCTTTCATATGAGCTATCGCTTGTCTATATACGATAAGATTTTTGAAAAAATTTTTGTTTTACCCCAATATTTTAATTATAAAAATAATTTATTTAGGGGGTATATTCCAGGGATTATATCTTTGGGGTAATGGAAGTATATTAATTCGGTTCACCATTTTTAGAGACATCTTTTTGTGCTCTTTCATATGAGCTATCGCTTGTCTATATACGATAAGATTTTTGAAAAAATTTTTGTTTTACCCCAATATTTTAATTATAAAAATAATTTATTTAGGGGGTATATTCCAGGGATTATATCTTTGGGGTAATGGAAGTATATTAATTCGGTTCACCATTTTTAGAGACATCTTTTTGTGCTCTTTCATATGAGCTATCGCTTGTCTATATACGATAAGATTTTTGAAAAAATTTTTGTTTTACCCCAATATTTTAATTATAAAAATAATTTATTTAGGGGGTATATTCCAGGGATTATATCTTTGGGGTAATGGAAGTATATTAATTCGGTTCACCATTTTTAGAGACATCTTTTTGTGCTCTTTCATATGAGCTATCGCTTGTCTATATACGATAAGATTTTTGAAAAAATTTTTGTTTTACCCCAATATTTTAATTATAAAAATAATTTATTTAGGGGGTATATTCCAGGGATTATATCTTTGGGGTAATGGAAGTATATTAATTCGGTTCACCATTTTTAGAGACATCTTTTTGTGCTCTTTCATATGAGCTATCGCTTGTCTATATACGATAAGATTTTTGAAAAAATTTTTGTTTTACCCCAATATTTTAATTATAAAAATAATTTATTTAGGGGGTATATTCCAGGGATTATATCTTTGGGGTAATGGAAGTATATTAATTCGGTTCACCATTTTTAGAGACATCTTTTTGTGCTCTTTCATATGAGCTATCGCTTGTCTATATACGATAAGATTTTTGAAAAAATTTTTGTTTTACCCCAATATTTTAATTATAAAAATAATTTATTTAGGGGGTATATTCCAGGGATTATATCTTTGGGGTAATGGAAGTATATTAATTCGGTTCACCATTTTTAGAGACATCTTTTTGTGCTCTTTCATATGAGCTATCGCTTGTCTATATACGATAAGATTTTTGAAAAAATTTTTGTTTTACCCCAATATTTTAATTATAAAAATAATTTATTTAGGGGGTATATTCCAGGGATTATATCTTTGGGGTAATGGAAGTATATTAATTCGGTTCACCATTTTTAGAGACATCTTTTTGTGCTCTTTCATATGAGCTATCGCTTGTCTATATACGATAAGATTTTTGAAAAAATTTTTGTTTTACCCCAATATTTTAATTATAAAAATAATTTATTTAGGGGGTATATTCCAGGGATTATATCTTTGGGGTAATGGAAGTATATTAATTCGGTTCACCATTTTTAGAGACATCTTTTTGTGCTCTTTCATATGAGCTATCGCTTGTCTATATACGATAAGATTTTTGAAAAAATTTTTGTTTTACCCCAATATTTTAATTATAAAAATAATTTATTTAGGGGGTATATTCCAGGGATTATATCTTTGGGGTAATGGAAGTATATTAATTCGGTTCACCATTTTTAGAGACATCTTTTTGTGCTCTTTCATATGAGCTATCGCTTGTCTATATACGATAAGATTTTTGAAAAAATTTTTGTTTTACCCCAATATTTTAATTATAAAAATAATTTATTTAGGGGGTATATTCCAGGGATTATATCTTTGGGGTAATGGAAGTATATTAATTCGGTTCACCATTTTTAGAGACATCTTTTTGTGCTCTTTCATATGAGCTATCGCTTGTCTATATACGATAAGATTTTTGAAAAAATTTTTGTTTTACCCCAATATTTTAATTATAAAAATAATTTATTTAGGGGGTATATTCCAGGGATTATATCTTTGGGGTAATGGAAGTATATTAATTCGGTTCACCATTTTTAGAGACATCTTTTTGTGCTCTTTCATATGAGCTATCGCTTGTCTATATACGATAAGATTTTTGAAAAAATTTTTGTTTTACCCCAATATTTTAATTATAAAAATAATTTATTTAGGGGGTATATTCCAGGGATTATATCTTTGGGGTAATGGAAGTATATTAATTCGGTTCACCATTTTTAGAGACATCTTTTTGTGCTCTTTCATATGAGCTATCGCTTGTCTATATACGATAAGATTTTTGAAAAAATTTTTGTTTTACCCCAATATTTTAATTATAAAAATAATTTATTTAGGGGGTATATTCCAGGGATTATATCTTTGGGGTAATGGAAGTATATTAATTCGGTTCACCATTTTTAGAGACATCTTTTTGTGCTCTTTCATATGAGCTATCGCTTGTCTATATACGATAAGATTTTTGAAAAAATTTTTGTTTTACCCCAATATTTTAATTATAAAAATAATTTATTTAGGGGGTATATTCCAGGGATTATATCTTTGGGGTAATGGAAGTATATTAATTCGGTTCACCATTTTTAGAGACATCTTTTTGTGCTCTTTCATATGAGCTATCGCTTGTCTATATACGATAAGATTTTTGAAAAAATTTTTGTTTTACCCCAATATTTTAATTATAAAAATAATTTATTTAGGGGGTATATTCCAGGGATTATATCTTTGGGGTAATGGAAGTATATTAATTCGGTTCACCATTTTTAGAGACATCTTTTTGTGCTCTTTCATATGAGCTATCGCTTGTCTATATACGATAAGATTTTTGAAAAAATTTTTGTTTTACCCCAATATTTTAATTATAAAAATAATTTATTTAGGGGGTATATTCCAGGGATTATATCTTTGGGGTAATGGAAGTATATTAATTCGGTTCACCATTTTTAGAGACATCTTTTTGTGCTCTTTCATATGAGCTATCGCTTGTCTATATACGATAAGATTTTTGAAAAAATTTTTGTTTTACCCCAATATTTTAATTATAAAAATAATTTATTTAGGGGGTATATTCCAGGGATTATATCTTTGGGGTAATGGAAGTATATTAATTCGGTTCACCATTTTTAGAGACATCTTTTTGTGCTCTTTCATATGAGCTATCGCTTGTCTATATACGATAAGATTTTTGAAAAAATTTTTGTTTTACCCCAATATTTTAATTATAAAAATAATTTATTTAGGGGGTATATTCCAGGGATTATATCTTTGGGGTAATGGAAGTATATTAATTCGGTTCACCATTTTTAGAGACATCTTTTTGTGCTCTTTCATATGAGCTATCGCTTGTCTATATACGATAAGATTTTTGAAAAAATTTTTGTTTTACCCCAATATTTTAATTATAAAAATAATTTATTTAGGGGGTATATTCCAGGGATTATATCTTTGGGGTAATGGAAGTATATTAATTCGGTTCACCATTTTTAGAGACATCTTTTTGTGCTCTTTCATATGAGCTATCGCTTGTCTATATACGATAAGATTTTTGAAAAAATTTTTGTTTTACCCCAATATTTTAATTATAAAAATAATTTATTTAGGGGGTATATTCCAGGGATTATATCTTTGGGGTAATGGAAGTATATTAATTCGGTTCACCATTTTTAGAGACATCTTTTTGTGCTCTTTCATATGAGCTATCGCTTGTCTATATACGATAAGATTTTTGAAAAAATTTTTGTTTTACCCCAATATTTTAATTATAAAAATAATTTATTTAGGGGGTATATTCCAGGGATTATATCTTTGGGGTAATGGAAGTATATTAATTCGGTTCACCATTTTTAGAGACATCTTTTTGTGCTCTTTCATATGAGCTATCGCTTGTCTATATACGATAAGATTTTTGAAAAAATTTTTGTTTTACCCCAATATTTTAATTATAAAAATAATTTATTTAGGGGGTATATTCCAGGGATTATATCTTTGGGGTAATGGAAGTATATTAATTCGGTTCACCATTTTTAGAGACATCTTTTTGTGCTCTTTCATATGAGCTATCGCTTGTCTATATACGATAAGATTTTTGAAAAAATTTTTGTTTTACCCCAATATTTTAATTATAAAAATAATTTATTTAGGGGGTATATTCCAGGGATTATATCTTTGGGGTAATGGAAGTATATTAATTCGGTTCACCATTTTTAGAGACATCTTTTTGTGCTCTTTCATATGAGCTATCGCTTGTCTATATACGATAAGATTTTTGAAAAAATTTTT